ATCCGTTGATGAAAGTCAGGCCCATTATAATGCCCCACCTCACCTCCAAGAAGGATATGAGGTACCCTTGCCTAACCTAAATCATCATCGTATTAGTGAAAATGAAGTGGATAATAATCCAAGAGCAATGAGTCATAGTACTTCTATTATGACTCCTCAATTTCAGCAGATGGCTGAGTTCTTTCGTTACTTGGCTGGGACAATATCGGAACCTAGTGAAATAAATTTTGAGAAGATGAGGAAAATGGGTGGAGTTGAATTTGAAGGCACTACTGATCCCATGGTAGCTGAACAATGGCTCGAGTGTATGGAGAGAGTCTTTGAACAACTAGAGTGTACTAATGCTGCCAAATTTAAGTATGTTATCTCTCTTTTACAAAAAGATGCCTATGATTGGTGTGTAAGTGTGCTAAATGCAAAAGCAAAACCTCCAGTGCTGACTTGGGATGACTTTGTAAAAGCATTTCGTGCGAAATATGTCCCTCCTGTCTACTGTGATGCAAAGAAAAAAAAGTTTCTGAATTTAAGACAAGGGAGTGTGTCTATTGCAGAGTATCAACAAATATTTCTTAGGCTTTCTCGCTATGCTGGAGGTATTATTGATGGTGAAAGAGACAAGTGCAGAAGATTTGAAGAAGGTTTGAATGGTTATATTCGAAAATCTGTGGCAATCTTTCAACTTGAGAATTTTTTCAAGTTAATTTCAGCTGCTCTTACTTGGGAAAGAATTGACAAGGAAGAAGCTAGTAGGAGAGAAAACAAGTTTAGGAAGGGTAATTCAGATTATGGCGGTCCATCCAAGAAGAAAAAGTTTGACTATTCCAAGACTGAAAGTGCACAAAAGTCATCATATCATAAGCAGAATAAGCCAAATTTCTCTACTGCTAGTACTCCAAGTTATGGCCAAGGCAAAACTTATACACCTACTTGTGCATAGCGCGAAAAGAATCACTATGGTGTCTGCAGAAGAGCTTCTGGTGATTTTTTTAATTGTGGAAGCATGGATCATAAAGTGAAGGATTGTCCTAATCCTAATCCTCTCTCTTATACGCATACAGAGGGCTCAGTTCAAAATCCTATCACTACTCATTCTCAAGCTAATAGTGGTGCAAGACTTAGAAATATACAAACGGCGGGTTCGGATGGAGCTAATCAGGCTAGTGGGTCGAGATCTACTGCACGAGTCTATGCTATGAGACAGAAGAATGACCAAGATGGCCCGGACGTGGTTGTTGGTAAATTTCACTTATTTGGCATATCTGTTGTTACATTATTTGATCCTGGATCTTCGCACTCTTATGTTTGCTCATCACTTGCATTTCCTGATACTGTTAAATCTGTAAGACTTGACTTTGATATGCTGGTCATGAATCCATTAGGTCATCAGGCTGTTGTTAACAGGATTTACCGAGATTGTCTATTCATGATTCAAAATCTGGTCTTCCCTGCAGACTTGCTTGAAATGCCCTTCCAAGACTATGATGTTATTGTTGGTATGGATTGGCTCCATAGACATCATGCATTGGTTGATTGTAGGTTTAAGCAAGTGACTTTTAGAACTTTTGCATACTCACACATAGTAGTTCAAGGGGAAAGATCATTGACATCTAATATTATTTCTACGGTCTTGGCAAGGAAGATGATTTGTCAAGGTTGTGATGCCTATCTTGCTCATATAGTCGATACACGATTGGGGAGTCCTAGTCTTAAGGACATACCAACCGTGTGCGACTTTCCTGCTGTATTTCCTGATGATCTTCCTGGGTTGCCTCCAGAAAGGGAGATTGAATTTCCTATAGAGCTTGTCCCTGGAACTACTCCTATTTCTATCGCTCCTTATAGAATGGCTCCAGCTGAATTAAAAGAATTGAAGGATCAATTGCAAGAACTTCTTGATAAAGGTTTTATCCGTCCCAGTATTTTGCCTTGGGGAGCTCATGTTTTATTTGTGAAAAAGAAATATGGCACTCTTAGGCTTTGCATTGATTACCGGCAGCTGAACAAGGTAATAATCAAGAACAAATATCCACTTCCTAGAATCGATGACTTGTTTGACTAACTGAAGGGTGCCAGCTTGTTCTCAAAAATTGACTTGAGGTCGGGATATTATCAATTGCGCGTGAGGGAGCAAGATGTTCCTAAAACTGCTTTTAGGACCAGGTATGGACATTATGAATTTTTGGTAATGCCATTTGGTTTGACAAATGCTCTTGATGCATTTATGGATCTAATGAACCGTGTATTCAAGCCTTATCTTGATCAATTTGTGGTGGTGTTTATTGATGACACTTTAGTCTATTCCAAGAATAGAGAAGATCATGATAAGCATCTCCGGATTGTCATGCAAATTCTGAAAGAGAGGCAACTCTACGCGAAGCTTTCCAAATGTGAATTTTGGTTGAGTGAAGTGGCATTTTTGGGGCATATTGTATCAGCTGAAGATGTGAAGGTTGATCCTAGTAAGATTCAAGCTATTATTGATTGGAAACCTCCTAAAACTCTAACTGAGATAAGAAGTTTCTAGGGTTTAGCAGGATATTATAGGAGGTTCGCGAAGGGCTTTTCTATTATAGCTTCTCCTTTGACCAAACTTTCGGGGAAAGACGCCAAATTTGTGTGGGATGACAAGTGTCAAGAGAGCTTTGAAAAGCTCAAATCCTTGTTGACACAAGCTCCAATACTTTTTTTGCCAGCTGAAGGGAAAGATTATGTGGTATACAGTGATGCATCTCACCGTGGCTTGGGTTGTGTTTTGATGCAAGAAGGGAAAGTAATTGCTTATGCCTCTCGAAAGTTGAAATCGCATGAGTTGAATTATCCCACTCACGATCTCGAATTTGCTGCCATTATTTTTGCCTTAAAAATTTGGAGGCATTACTTGTACGGGGAGAAATGTCACATATTTACTGATCACCAGAGTTTGAAGTACTTGGGTACACAAAAAGAGTTAAACTTGAGACAACGTAGATGGCTTGAACTCATCAAAGATTATGATTGCACGATTGATTGTCATCCTGGTAAAGCTAATGTGGTTGCAGATGCATTGAGTCGCAATTCCCTTGCAAGTTTAACTCTAAGTCCTTTGCCCTTGCTTCTTGAATTAAGAGCCATGAATATTTATCTTTCATTTAATTCTAATGGTTCTATCATTGCTAATTTGCAAGTCAAGCCAGTCTTACTTGAGCAGGTCCAAGAAGCGCAGAAGTTAGATGAGAAACTTGTGAAACGAGTTGAAGAAGTCCAAAATGGAAGAGAATCAAATTTTACATTGAAGAAAGATGATACATTATTTTATAAAAGTAGGTTGTGTGTTCCTAATGATGATGAATTGAGGAAGCATATCTTGATTGAAGCACAAAGTTCGACTTATGCAATGCATCCTGGAGGTACTAAAATGTTCCGGACCATCAAGGAGCACTACTGGTGGAGTGGTATGAAGAAAGACATTGCAGAGTTCATTTCTAAATGCTTGGTATGTCAACAAATAAAAGCTGAGCATCAAGTCCCAGCTGGTCCTACTACAACCCTTGTCAATACCTGAGTGGAAATGGGAAAGGATAACGATGGACTTTGTTTCTGGACTTCCAAGCACTCAAAGGAATCATGATGCAATTTGGGTCATTGTAGATAGATTAACTAAGAGTGCTCATTTCTTGGCAATCAGAATGGACTACTCACTGGAACGTTTGGCAGAATTATACATTAATGAGATTGTGAGGCTGCATGGAATCCCTGTTTCTATTTTGTCTAATAGAGATCCAAGGTTTACATCCAGATTTTGGTCTAGCTTGCAAGAAGCTTTGGGTTCTAGGTTGAATTTTATTACCGCTTTTTATCCACAAACAGACGGCCAGTCTGAGAGGGTAATACAAATCTTGGAGGATATGCTTCGAGCCTGCATTATTGAGTTTGAGGGTAGTTGGGACAAACACTTAGCCCTGATAGAATTTGCTTACAATAATAGCTACCAATCAAGTATAGGCATGCCTCCTTATGAAGCTTTGTATGGGAGAAAATGCAGAACGCCTCTTTGTTGGAACGAGGTTGGTGAAAGTAAATTGGCGGGTCCTGAGATTGTTCGACAAATTGAAGATAAGGTAAAAATCATCAAGGATCGCTTAAAAATTGCCTCAGACAGACAAAAATCTTATGCCGATCTTAAGAGGCGTGAAATTGAGTATAAAGCGGGTGATAAGGTATTTTTAAAGGCTTCTCCATGGAAGAAGATTATGAGATTTGGCCAAAAAGGTAAACTTAGTCCATGATTTATTGGACTTTATGAAGTGCTTGGGAGAGTTAGCCCAGTTTCTTATAAACTAGCTCTTCCACCAGAGTTAGACAAGATCCACAACATCTTTCATATTTCTATGCTCAGAAGATACCGCTCAGATCCATCTCATGTTCTTCCTATTGAATCTATAGAGGTCAATCCTGATTTGACATATGGAGAAGAACCAATCCAAATCTTAGCGCGTGAGTTAAAGGAGCTTAGAAACAAGAGCATCCCCTTAGTGAAAGTTCTTTGGAAAAATCATTCTGGTGAAGAAGCTACCTCGGAGCGAGAAGAGGATATACGAATTCAATATCTACATTTGTTTAGGGACTAGTACCAGGTAAATTTTGGGACGAAATTTATTTAAGGGGGAGAGAGTTGTAACACCCTAAATTTTTACTATTATTTGCATTTTCGATTGAGCATCTTTATAATGAGAAAATATTTTTACTTCGCACTTCCTAAATGTGAAATTTACAATACATAAAAATTCCTTACTCTAGGTTGTATTAATACTGATAAAGAAGTTCCATGGTGTTGCTATACGTAACACTTAATATTATTTTGATAAATTATTGTTAAATATATTATAATTAAATTTTTGGGTTGTCACTCTTTTGTATTTATCTAAGGATATTTAGTAGTTGGGCAGCTATTTATATTTTATATTTATCCAAAATTCTTAAAGACAACTTTGATTGACTTAGTCTTCCATAAACTCCCCATTTTCATTCTTTCAAGAAAAAGAAAAAAACACCCCTACCCTCTCTCCTTCTTATTACCTGAAAACTTCATGAAAACCACCATAAATTTCTACTAAATCAACCAGCAAAATTCATTCTTTGTGAAGCTCAAGTTGCTCCTCTCTTTTGTGGTAAGTTACTAAACCCGTTTTTACACTAGATAACTATTAGTTTTTTCTTCATATCTTTTTGTATAAAGCTCTGTTTTAAGTGATCTAAGACTTTCTGGAAAGCTATTTCATAGATCTATAACTCTTATGAAGGAACCAAAACCTGATTTGTCCTTTAGTTACCCGAAAATAGGTGATGAAGTACAGGGCGGGTGCTGCCCAGATTTTCTATTTTACAAACCCTCATTGTACTACTGTTAGTAAGTTTAACATAACGTTTTGTATAAAATTGATATGGGGGTGATTAAAAATTTTCTGAAATGCTAAGACATATATGTACAACTGTAAAGAAGACCACACAGTCTAGTTTGTCCTTTTTAATTTTTAAAAATGAGTCACAACACGAGGCAGTGATACTGTCCAGAATTTCTGTTTCAAATATTTTGGGTAATTTTCACCAATATCATATTTAGTTTGACATGTTAAATTATTGAACTTATATAGATATTTTACTATGTATTTAAGGTATATATATCCTTGTAAAAGCTAAGGGGAAATGTTTCAGGAAGTGGAAGGATTTGGTTTGTCTAGGGCGTAGACGATTCGAACGTCCTGAAGTGGTGGTTGAACTATTTTGTGGTAAAACACCAAGGTTTGTGTATAAACTTTGCACTCTTTTTACTTTCTGAAATATTTTGAAATAACCTGATATTTTATTTTTCTTCTCTTTAATTAATAGCATTGTATTCGTTTTATATTAAGTATTGCAAAATAATTGCTAAATCGCCCACTAGTACGGATTGTTTGATCATTCTGCATTCTTGTTAGGACTTTGTCCTTCTTGTGGCGGTGACTTTGTCACTTATTTTGGCATGCCTCTTGATTTGGATCTTTTACCATCTTTACTTTGGATTTGTAGTTCGTCTTAAATTATGAAACTTGTCCGTGTTAAGTATAAACTAGGAAGCCATTTTTAATATGGTTCTTGATTCTCTTGACTATTGGGTTTTGACCCTACTTGATTTTGGGTTTCGATCCATCTTGATATCTGATTTTACTTAGTGTGATGGCATGGCGTTCATATTGGGCGAAAAATAAATATTTGACAAGCTTTCTTGGATTGATAGTATACGCTTTCTCAACTCTTATATCTTGAACATAGTTATTGATAATTGGAAACACTTCAAGGGTTGATATTTGAAACTTTTGATATATTTGTTCACTTGTTTTAAATTATATTTTATTTGAGCTACCTATGACTAAAAATGAGAATTGGAGAAGTTAATGGCTCCAAGCCCCCAAAGTTTATACGCCACTAAGCTTTATGCTTAGCGATAGTTGTTTTCTATTGTAGGTAATGTACGGGATGGAATTTGAAGACGGCCTTATGAAGTAGTCTTTTTTTTGGGAGTACTTATGGAGATCACATTTGCATATGCACCATGGTTTTGTATAGTTTTGGGACTTGTACATGATATATATGTCACACTTGTGTATGTTATTTGGAGGCTTGGATATTAAGACCAAAATCTTGTAACTTGAATTTGGTAACTTATTTTGTTGTTTTAAGGTGTGTTAATAACTCAAGTCTTGTAATATATTAAATTTTCACTTTGTCTTATATATATGTACAAAGGAAAAAAATTAGTTTTCCTTTTTATACCTAATAGTTTGAAATTTATGTACAATATAAATTTGCAGTGATGTCGAATGAAAGTATAATTTTGTTAAGAAGTTGCTTTAACGTGTTGATTATTCAAGAAGGGTTATATCACCTTATGTTGAAATTTTGACATTGTATTTTATTTTTTAAAAAATAAAATAAAAATTATGAAGAATATTTTCGAAAATAAAAATATTGCACTTTGGACCTCATCACATGTGCCTATTTCTGCTATTAAATTATTCTGAATATTTTTTTAATTAATATCTTCTTAATGTTGTAAGTAGTAAATTAGATTTTTTTCGTAAGTAGCACCCTCCCAAAGGGGTTGCTACAGGAAATCGCCCCCGATGTCATAGAATTGGTGCAAAAATACCCCTCCGCCGTTAGGACCCTCTACCATGCCAATATTATCCCATGTGGCCTGATATATTACTGAGGTGGATGCCATGTGGCATTCCACCTCATCGCATCTATCCCATTTTATCCTTCCCTTACTTCTTCCACCACCACGTTCCTCTTTACCCAACCACCACCAACATTACATTCTCCTTTGCCACACACCTATTTTTCCACCACAATCAGACCATTAATCTTGACACCATTAAATCACCATGCTTTCACTAAAAATCAAGCTGAGTTAAAATTTTTTATTTTTAGATTTCATTCTCCAATTTGATTTCAGGTTTTTTTATGATTCCAAGTTTCTTAGTACATCCACGGTAACATAAATATTTGATCTTTTACTAGTACATATAATAAGCAAAGAGCTTATGAACAATAGTTAATTAAGCGTAGAGATAGGAATAATCAAAGAGTATTACTAATTCTACACTAGTTACCATATCCTTAGATTCTTCATTGAGATTAGGCGTTTGTTTTCTTGTTGAAGTATCCAACTTTTAAAGAGTTTTTCTCCTTCCATGTCTTCATATGTTCACACGAGAATGACAACAAATTGGAGGGAAAAGCAGTTCTTGAGCTAAAACCCAATTATAGTCGACCTTTTCCAACTTCAGTTTATTTTGGCGAGGCTTTTTCAGAGACTGGGGAGCTTTAGCTTACTCATTCTGTTGATTATCTGTTTTATGCTTCTTATCAATATAAAGATCCTCTGTTTTCTGCTTCTCCATCTCCATCGCCGTGTTTTATTTGATTTCAAATGATTTGTTGGAAAAGTACACTTCATAAGAAAATAAAATTTAGATTCAGTTTAATTTTTTGTGAAATAATGGTGATTTGATGGTGTCAAGACTAGTGGTCTGATAGTGGTGGAAAGGTGTGTGGTAAAGGAGTTGGCGGTGGTTCGGTAAAGAGGGAGGTGGTGTGGAAGAAATAGGGGAAGGGTAAAATGGGATAGATGCAATAAGGTGGCATGCCACGTGGAATCCACCTCAGCAATATATTAGTCCACATGGGATAATATTGACTTGGTGGAGAGTCCTAACGGCATATGGGTATTTTAACATCGATTTTATGACACTGGGGGCTGTAGTGGACCAATAGTATAAGGAGGGTATAAATCAGTATTTTAAAAGACATATGTGTAAGGCAAGGCATTTTACATATGCCTCAGCGAGGCACACCCCATGAGTATTTAATTTTTAATATTTTATAAAATAATATAATTACAGTAAATATTTATAAANTACAAACATAAGTAACTTGAGTCGAAAAGAATAATATTTTCTATATGGAGGAATAAAAATGATGACTAACCTACAATTTGAACTTTGAACTTGCTGCTATGAAGGAGAATGAAGTTCTTTTTATATTTGTAAAAAAAAAATGAATATCCGTTGCTTTTGGGAGATATTAGCAGACTAGCGTACAAGATAAAGAATTAGGAAAGACCACAAATTAAGGCTTCAATCAATAAAAAAGGTCTTGACTTTTAAATTTAATACATTTCAGTTTCTTTTTAAAACTTTTGAATAATTACAAGCTGTTTTTTGAGAATTTGGGTATTATATGAAAGACTTATTCAACAAATTTTATTTTTTGAAAAAGTCTCAGAAGCATACGCCTCACTACAAAAACGCGCCTCAAATGCCCGGACGTACGCCTCTTAAGACTTTCGCCCCAAAGCATCGCCTCGGGGCATTTTTGGTGCGCCTCGCCTCAGGGCTCGCGCCCAAAAATGCCTTTTAAAACACTGGTATAAATGAACATTTTCGAATAGTGAAGGGTATTTTTGACCCTTTTCTGTTTTTAAAATTATTAAGATGTGCACTTAGAGATTCTTGTGCATATACTTCATCCATCCGATTCACTTTAATTAGTTTTTTGGTTGCTTTCACACATATTTGATAATATTAATCTTTAACTATAAGAAAATATAACATATGCTCTAAGTCTCTTTATTCTAAAGCCAACTTTGATAAAAGAAGTTAATTTCTTCTTGATATTGAAAAAATTTAAACATTATGAACCACACAAAAGCCAAAAATCAATTAAAATGGATCGGAGGAAAATATTTTACCACCATTCTGTTTGTTATCATCGTCAACCATCAATATTTATCCACTACTTCCACAATCCACCATCATTAGGAGCTAGCTCCATAATCTACAACCATTATCAATCACTTCACAAGTTTCTGCGATACAACTACAACTTTCAATCGCCTATCACTTCCACGATTAGCCGCTACCATCTGCCTTAATTGCAAAAACTATCGGTACCACTAATTTTTAACAAACAATATACATATTCAATTGCTAAAAACAATGTTAATTATTTAGGTGTATAGGGTAAAATCGGTTCATATTGAATACTCATATAGTAGAGCGACACGTGAAATCAGAGATAGATAAAAAGTGAGACAGGTGAAAACAAAGACCGGGGACAGCAATTTCGATTAGCACCGTAGAGCCCCCGAAGGGAATATTGCTAATGAAAACAAACGAGTGCCTGCCACCCGGTAGCATTTAATGAAGAATATTCTGCAATATTAATTATACAGTCAGTTATAGAGACTTATGGCATTCATAGCCTGTCGTTACACATTCTTCAATGACCCCATAATTGTCATTTAAAAGGGGCTTGATCCTAGGACCTTGTTCTCTAGGTGCAACTATAAATAATGATTTTAACAGCCATTGTAAGGACACAAATTTTCTCACAAACTTATGTTATATACTATTCAAAAGCTCAATAATACTTTATTTCTTGCATACTAATACTTGTATTACTGCCTCCGGAAGCTCTGCTCCCAGAACCAAAGCTATCTGCTGCTTTATCTCGATTTCAATGCTAAGTCTTGCATTTTATTTAATTTATTTATTATTTTGGGATCAAATCGATTCGCTTATCTATAAACCACGAACAAATTCAACTGTACCGTTTTATGGGTAAACACTAGGTTCATATTTAAATGCACCATCTTAATAATTAGTTATGCAGTCGATTTAAAACAAGATAAGTTCGAGAATCAACTTACCATGATTTTTGGCCTTTCACCCATATTTAAGGGCCAGTTCTTTCCACCGGCGGGTCTGAGGCGTAGTGACGTCTAAAATCTTCTGGACCCACTGGTCCAAGCCTTCAACCCTTAGTAGTGTCTATCGAATTGCTGAAATAATGAAAAGAGGAGGATCAATTATAGCATGGAACAACCTTTAATTAGAAAAAAGACGGACGTTGAACTTACGTGTATGATTTCATGACTCAGGAAAAGATGGAGTTGTAGCCGTGATGATATCCTTGGTAGCAATTATAATGAACCGCTCCATCCATCCACGGTCACTGTCAATATCCATGTTGGTGAGCAAAGCATGGTGATCACATTTGCTGAAGTTTATCATTCCCCTACGGAAAATCTTGGGGGAGAAAAGGTTCATTATTCGAGCTAGGGAGAGCTCTTCCCCTGTCTCCTGGTATAACCGCCGAAGACAGGCTATCGTCCGCCACACAGAAGGGCTCACTTGTGCCAAAAAGACTTGATAGCATAAACAAAACTCAAGGATTACGGTCAAGTCCCTCGCTCAATAAGAATGGGCCCAAAGTGATGGGATACATATAAACATATGTAAAATGCTTCTTGGGGAAAGTTACTCGCTCCGCCAGATTGGGAGTAATGATATTCAAGTCATGGCAATCACAGTCTTCCTTCACAGCAGGAATGCTAGAATGACGGTTGGAAGAAGGGTACACACCAACAGCCTATGTGTGGTAGTTAGCAGAAGAAAATTTCTCTTCAAAATCCTTGGTTGTATTGAGCTTTCTGGGGATAATGATACTTACTGCAGGAGAAGCATCATCATCGGTGCTTTCTTTGTTTTTTGAAGAGCTGGATTTCTTGGAGGAGGAATCCATGGTTAGCAGATGGAAGTAGGAGTTCTTTGAAGAAGAAGAATAAAGAGGAGTGAAAGCTAGGAAAAGTTGAATGTAAAGAAGTTGAGAGAGTTTTTAAAAATTATGAAGTGTAAAAGAAGAAGTGTGAGGCGTATAAGTAAAAGAATAGACGGCTAAAATCGTGGCCATAATTATCTCGAGAATCAGCGAAAGTACTGCTAAATCATAGAGTGATGCCTGTTTGGGGCATTAAATACGGAGATACGTGCGTCTAATCAAGCGTCAGAAACTCTTTCAGAGGAGATCAAAAAATTTTCCGCCAAAAAGGTATCTTTACCAACTTCCCGATGACACAAGGATGTGCCATCGAAAAGCTAGGGGACTATCTGTATAGGGTAAAATCGGTTCATATTAAATACTCGTATAATAGAGCGACACGTGAAACTAGAGATAGACGAAAAATAAGACAGGTAGAAACCAAAACCAGAGGAATCAGCTTCGGCTAGCGCTGGAG